TGTCTCGACTCAACCTCGCTCCGATGAACACAAATCGACCCAAACATAAAGCTTGAAGCGCTCGACTCTACATGCTCGAACCTACCATGGCGATTGACGGCTGTGACAATGAAAATGGTAGAGGCAAACTCAATCGAACATAGGAAACACGACCATGGTGGCCCTGACGAGAAGAAGACATGGTGGTGATGGTCCTGGCCCATTAATCATAAAGCTTCGTTAAAGCGCATAACACTAAACGAAGCCATTGATTATTTTTTAGAGATGTGGGTACGTGATGAATTTTCCCTCTCCTATTTAATGACGTAGTAACATATCAAACGAGAGAAAACTCTTCTTTATATAATAAGATATGTTGGGTAACTTTCACTCTTGTGTAACAATGGTAAACCTAAGGTGACACACTGTATAGTTAGATTACAACTTTTGACAACAACCAAAATTTATTTTGCATCTTTGTAGCTTACCCTTTTAAAAGCCCATTAAAAGTTTGGCCCATGTTTATGATTATGAAACGAGTCAAAACAGGTCGTCTCTTCGGTACTAAAACCCTAAAAGATATTTTGATTCTCTTTCATCGTCTCTTCACGGCAAAGAGCAAAACAATGGGGAAGAAGAGAAAGCACAGCGAGACTGAAGCGGCGGCACTATTAAAGAAAGACGACTCTGCTCCAGAGAGACCTAAAAGAACTTTACTTGGTTGGAAAGAAAAGGCCCAAGATGCAGAGGAACCTAAACCAGCGCCTGAGTTCAGGAACAAAGAGAAGGTTCTCGTTACTTGTTCCCGTCGTATCAGTTACAGGTACCGACATCTGATGTTGAACATGGTGTCTCTTCTACCTCACTGTAAGAAAGATAGTAAGGTTGAAGCTAAGAGCAGTAAAGGCGCTACTCTTAATGAGCTTGTTGAGCTTAAGGGTTCTTCTTCCTGCTTGTTCTTTGAGGTCAAGTTTCAATCTTTTTTTGGTTTCCTTTGTAAAGTCAATATATTTCTTGATTTATTTCAAGAAAGTGAAGTTGGGTATGTGTTTGTTTGTTGTCTTGTTCAGTGTAGGAAGCATAAAGATCTTTACATGTGGATGGTTAAGTCTCCAAGTGGACCTTCTGTTAAGTTCTTGGTTAATGCTGGTACTTTTCTCTAGTCCTTAGTCTTAGCTTGTGGAGCTAATCATTGTTTAGCTTATGTTTGTTTTGTTTGTGTTGTGTGTGTGGTGAAGTTCACACAATGGAGGAGCTGAAACTCACTGGGAATCATTTGAAAGGGTCACGTCCACTCTTGACTTTCTCATCTAACTTTGATAAAGATGTGCATTGGAAGCTTTTGAAAGAGATGTTAACACAGGTCATTATCCAACCCTTATGTTTGTTTCTTACTGGTTAGTTTTTGTTTTTATGCATCATGCTGATTAGTTTTCTCTTTATCTCTTACAGGTTTTTGGAATCCCCAAGGAGCATAGAAAGTCTAAACCTTACCATGACCATGTTTTTGCTTTCTCCATTGTTGATGACCATATATGGTTCCGTAATTACCAGGTTTGGTTGAACGTTTTAGTATCTTAGGGATCAACTGGTGTTCAGTTTGGTTTAATCTATTCAATGTCTGTTGCAGATATCTGTACCTCATAATGAGGCAGACAGAGTTGCAAGAGGTGGTCTGGATAAAATGACTCTTGTTGAGGTCTGCCTATAACTATTAGTAACTATGATTTGTGTAATGGTGGATTAGTTAGGTGTTGATTGAAGTGATAATCTGATGACAGGTTGGTCCAAGGTTTTGTTTAAATCCGATTAAGATATTTGGAGGCAGCTTTGGAGGTCCAACCCTTTATGAGAACCCATTCTACGTATCTCCAAACCAGGTACTGAGTTCTCTGTTTTAGCTTGATGATGACACATTTGCTGATGCACTTGTTAATTATACGGTTTCTTTTTGCTGTGTTCCTCAAGATTCGAGCGTTGGAGAAAAGAAGCAAAGCTGGGAAGTTTGCTAAGAAAATCAAAGCAAAAACAAGGAAAAAGATGCACGAGCTTTCAAACCCATTGGAGCCTGATGAGTTTGCAGACATGTGGAAGGATGATGAATGATCAAAGTTTTGTTGTTGTAAACTTCCAAATTTACAGAATCATCAACACATTTTTGTCTTTACGGTTCTTGACTCTGTTTTATTCTCTACCTCTTATCGATCTAAGTAATAGATTTGTTTTTATTCTTTCTAATTAACGAGTTCAACCAAAAATTCGATTTTTCATCTAATCTATTATATTAAAAGAGAAGTCATGACTTCTTATTCATGTGTGATTTTTTATAAAATGGACTACCTACTAGAGTTGATCACATTATATATTTAATCATTAATAACATTCATTAGATTCACTAATAACATTTATTGGGTTTACAATAAATTTTTATTGGGCTAATAAAAAATAGATAATCCATTGAATTTATAGATAGTATAATAAAATACATGTTTAAATTAAATTTATATAATTTAATATTGTAATAGTATAAGTTAATTAGTTATATATTTTCGATGTTAACTTTAAAAATTATATAGTTTATTTTTAAATGACAAAAATATCATTTTCTAACAATAATTATCTATATAATATAATAATTAATCATCATTTTCGATATACACACCTTATATAATATATTATTTTTAATATATGCACTTTATATAATATATACCAATTTAGAAGTAAAAACAAAATGTTTATATAAAAATAAATGAGAACAAATACCCGCGCGGTTGCGCGGGTTGAGATCTAGTTTATTATTAAAATTAGAACCGCATAATTTACAATAGGCCAAACAAGAGAAGCAAATATAATCTGTATGCAGCTAATGAATTAAAATACTACTTAATCAAATCTTCTCTATTAAAAGATAAGTACCAAATTTATCTACAATTTAAAAGTTATGTTGTACCATGTCATCTTATATATTAAAAGAGAAGTCATGACTTCATTTCATGTGTGATATTTTAAAATGGACCATCTATTAGAATTTATAACATTACACTATTCAATCATTAATAAGATTTATTGGGTTTATCAAAACTATTTATTGGACTAATAATAATTAGGTGATCCATTAGATTTATATATAGTATAAAAAATATATGTTTAAATTAAATTTATATAATTTAATGTTGTAATAGTATGTTAATTTTTAAAATTATATAGTTTATTTTTAAAAATAACAAAATCATCATCATCATCATTTTCTAACAATAATTAATCTATAACCTTAAACCAATGATTTTTTTAAAAATTATATTGTTTACTTTAAAAATAACAAAAACTAATTGTTTAATTATATATCCATAATATGAAGCTAACAGTTAAAATTTTGTTAAACTTTATAAATTTGAGAAATGTTACAATATTTTTTAGAGATGACAATAAAACAATATTTTACCAATCTTTACATATATTTAAAAGTTCAATAATGAAATAATAATCCAAATATATATATATATATATATAGAATATACAAATACATGTGAAAGTTTGAATTAATGTATTCGATGAAAATTAATATATGGTAAAATTGTTACTTTTTAAAAAATCGATATACACACCTCATATAATATATACCAATTTCGAAATGAAACCAAAATATTTATATAAAAATAAATGAAAACAAATACCCGCGCGGTTGCGCGGGTTGAGATCTAGTTAGTTATTTAATATGACATATTTGATTGTTATTTAACCAATCAAATATATATCATTTTCAAAATAACTTAATAATTAATAAGAATAAAAATAATAAATCTATTTAAATCTAACTGAATCTGTTGAAAAAATCTAACAATATCTTACCAAAAATTTAAAATAAGTATTTCTTTATTAAGTATAATTGTAAATTAACTCTAACTAAAAATAAAATATAAATCATATATTTAAAAACTTTAGCTATATATTTATAAAATAAATAATATCCGCACGGATGTCCGGTCAAAATCTAGTATCACTTATTTTTTATGTAACGTTATATTATTCATCTTGTATTAGTGTGAAGCTTTTACTAAACCGAAAATATGATAATTGCTAGAGTTTTGTGTTTCCATGGACACTGAAAACTTAGACGTTTATCATGTTTGTAGTGGTGCAAAGCTTCGGTCATGATTCCTTTTTGACATGAGCTTGTCTTGTCCTAGTGAAAGGTGGACAATGGGAACAGCTTGGTGATTGGTAAGCTCTGGATGCAGCCATCGGTTTGGCAGCTAGAGCCATAGCCAAGACACCACCACTCCAGGAATCACAAAACGGGAATCTGTGCGCCTGGAACCACTATAGGAGGGATTGTTGTGCCATTCGGGTCCACCACCACTGGAGCCACATCCTATACCGATGCTAATCCCTTCGCCTGAACCAATGCCTTCACCTAATCCGCTCCAGTGACAGGACTAATTAGGTTGGCCAGACCCGGATTCTATTCCTTTTCCAATGCCAGCACCTGAACCACCACCAGAGCTGATTTCTTCTCCAAAACCACTGCCATAACCATTGCACCACTTCCATAGCCCCTACCTCCCCATACCCCATAGCCCATATCTGCAGTTTATAATCAGGCTATTCTATGCGATCAGTTTTTTTTTAATGATCAGGCTTCTCTTTATGGTTTGGCTTTTCTTTCGGAACAAGTTCGTCTAGCTCACTCCACTTGGATTGCAGTTTATGATCAGGCTCTTCTGGTTCACCAGACTTGACTCAGTGCTGCATTGAACAAACTCATGATCTTGCTCGCTCAAACTAACCATCCCAGGCATCATTTCATGGATTAGATATGTAGCTTGTTTACTTACCTCCCATCAAAGGGGGATCCTTAAGAACCCTGCTTCCGAAACTTAAGCTGAAGAATAATAGTAATAAAACAAATCCAAAGCATATTCCTTGGTGTTCCTTTGCCAATTGTTATCCTTCCTATATAATATTTGATCCTCACGGTTTTATATGATGTAACACATCCCTTAAAGCGAAAATTACCTCGCTGATAATACACATGAAAAAAGAAGTGATATCATAAACACAGCATGACAAAAGGAAAGCAAGAGGCTTTTTCGATAACACAAACTGTATGTTTCAACAACTTCAAGTATCAAAAACCTTATTGAGATTATCTAACAACAAGAAACTGTAACATCACAATATCTGGAACAAACAAGATGTTATCAAACATCTAAAAGAAACAAAAAAACTCAACTGATGGGCACTTGGGGGTAGATTCAAACACTATTCACCATCACCGCCACCTGACTCAGCAGCTCTCATACCTTCAGCCAAAGCACGTGCCCTGTTCTGAGTTTGTCTCTCTACAGCAACCATGTATAAACCTAAAACAACCATATACAATTAACAACACGGTTGTCTCTCAGAGAAAACAAAAACATAGGAAAAGTGGTTAATATGATCATTACCGATTGCACTTCCAAGTGCACATCCCCACAGAATCCTCATTGACCACTTATCACTGATTACTCCCCTCGAACCCATCATCCTTAATAACACCCCGTCAAAGCTTAGAGCTTTACCAGTAAAGACGCAAACTTTATGACTGCAACACATCAAATGAACAATTTTTCAGGTTTGTGTCTGCGTTGAAGGGTACACTAGCGCCTTAAAGGCTTCTTCTGCTTTGGTATCGGTAAACATCACTGTCCTAAATATCTAACTACCCTCGTCGTTAAAGAAGAAACAAGAGGAGGAACCAAAGCAGTGGGATTGCTCGAAACGTTAGATCAAAGGAGTAAGAACCGAGAGGGAGCTTACCAGAATACGTCGCCGACCGGAGAAGTGAGAACCGAGAAGACAAAAAGTTGACGGTGGGAAAGAAGATGAAACGAGGACGGAAAATGAAAGACAAGGGGCTAATTTGATAAGAGTAAAACTATGGAGAGTTAATCCACAATAAAAGAAACATAAAGCACTCTACAGATATTATGAATATGAATCCTCAAACTTTAGACAAATCACATTTTGTTCCTAAGTGTAGCATTTCATATGTAATGGCCCCTATATTTTGGCAGAAATTTATTTTTTGGGTTACTACTCAGAATCAAATAATCATCAAGCCAGCTGACATTACAAAATGCTTATAAAGTAATGTTTTTGACAGAGAAGATTCCACTTCTTGAAAACATATAAAGAAGAAACAAAAACTTATTATACAGTATGCTGGAATCTATCAGTGACCTCTTCCTCATGATTGCTATCTAAAGTTTCAAGCAGAAGAGACGGTGCGTGCTGAGCATTCCCTTCATTCTCTTCCGAGTCTTGACAGAAGGAGAGTATGATTGTGTCTATTGACATCTCTACCACCCCAAAGAAAAGTGTTGCCACAACATACCCCAAAGCCCAACACGCCTGTGCATATAGAGAGTAAGAGAGTGTTACTATCACAACCAAAACCTATTCACTTTGAGTCTAGAGGGAAAAGAAAAGTTTTTTTTACCAAAACGGGTAATAGAGGGGAGGAGACTTTGTTGTGAGAAGACCGGTACTTGTGTGAATCCAACATGAGAAAGCCAAAGAGAGCACTGAATAGACTCACACAAAGCTTCCCTAGAAACAATATCACATCTCCTATTACATTCACCTTCCCTATCCTCATTATGTTGTTTATGATCAGCTCTGTAGCAATTGCAGATGATTTGCAGAAGCTTTTCCCTGTTATAGCAATCTGAAGACACCAAAAGACAACAGTTTATTAAAGAAATGAGTTTTGTTTTATTATAAAGGGAAGAGACTTTCTCTTACCATTATGTAAGCATTACGGTTAGCTGATTTGATAGTCCACTCAACGCTTTTAAGACAACCACGTGAAGTGTAATAACCCATTCTCCCAAGCCAGTGATCAGGTATGTTCCCTCTCACTTTCGTTCTACGACGAATACCTTCGAGAATGAACCTAACAGACTCCACAAAGGACACAACGAGTGAACCAAGAGCCACTGATCCAACATTGTACAGCCCAAGCCGCTTCATCGAGGCGAAAACAGGTAGAAAAGGTATCTCCGGTGATGCTTCTTCTTCCCCTTGAGCCCAGTAATAAGAAGCAACAGAGCCAGCAATCACTGTGGCAGAAGCTGCAATGAAGAACTGTGTGGCCCAGTAGCAACCAAATAGATGGAAGAATATGGCAACGGTGATGTGAGGAGTGTAACGTATGCTGTAACCACAGCAATGTTCACAGTTCACTTTCTTTAAAGCGAGATCGTAAGCGCAGCAGTTAGTGTTGTTGCAGTTGTTCTGAACAACTTGACCAGAGCTAAATAGATAGAGAGCTGCTGATAACCAGAACATGTAGAATATTGCGAGCATTGCGTATGGTATAGCTGGGAATATAATCAGTGCTTGCACTTCTCCAATTACTTTAGCAGCTACCTGGAAGAATACACAACATAACAACAATGACATTTCTAGCACAAAGCCAAACTAGTAACCAAAGTAGTACTCACCTTGAGGACTGATGTTGCCATAAGGATACGGCGAATAATGGCTATGGAAGTGAGGATAGCAACAGCTGAGAGAAAAGTCATCAGAATGGCGACTATACGGACATGAGTCAGCTCCTGTGAACAAGCAAAGTGCTAATAAGACTAACGGTCTTATAATTTAATGTAGCTGAAAAGTGGATGATGTTGAACTTACTCGACCATACACATGAATGTATGGATCATGCTCACCAATAATAGGTGTTACAGCATCATCCCCAATCCATCCAGCTACAGAAACAGAAAGGCACAACACATGTTGAGTACAAACAACTTGAAACACAGAGAGAAATGCATTCTTTAAAACCAACCTTTCAAGTAGTAGAAGATGGTCACAGATATTAAAAGCATGTTGAAAAGGACAACAGTTATCCATGGCATGGCAGCTACAAAATGACGTATAAGGAGCAGCCAAACAATGGATAGAAACAAAGGGACAAGACCTCCACAAACAATCAGTACTGGCCATGACTTGCCAACATCAGCCACATACCTCTGCAAATAACCAACCACTTAGTAAATTCTTCAAGTAGAGTTTTAATGTCAATAGAGAAGAGAATCATTCTCTTACCTTAAGAACCGAGGCACGAGAATTAACTGATCTTCTGATAGATTTGTCTATGATCATATCCTCTTGAATACTCACACCACCCATCTGCTGCCAATGGCGCAGAGATGAGTTTGAAGCACGTGCAATATACTGGCAGCTCCAATAAACTACAAAATTAAAACAGTTCATTACAAGAAAAAGGTAACAGAGAAACAAAAACAAAAGACTTAAGCTTTGTGTTCTTACCATTCACACTAGGAAATATAACAGGGTAACAAGGACCCTGAAGCTGAAGAGACGAGTTCCTCATTGCAGGAGTAAGAAACTCAAAGTAATCATAGTTCCTGTCAATCCAATCATCCATCTTCATACGAATATCACCGTCAGGATAGTCACAGACCCAGCTGAGAGTATCATCTAAAGGTTCAGGGCAGTCCAATAGACAAATAGTCCTAGCATTAGCCAGCTTAAGCTCCCCATCTTTCAAACCACTCTCATAGACTTGGTTAGGGTTTAACCAATATCTAAGCTCAAGTTGAGTAAGGTCACGGTGACGGTGGTTGCTACCACACACATTCCCTTCATAGTCTAATCCATATGTGAGTCTGCAAATAATAAAAATCTAAACTTTAAGACACAGATAGTACTAAAGATACAAACTTTGGCTTAATATCAGATGAAAGTAAGGTTTTTTACCTTAATGGGTTACCTTGGTTGAAACCAAAGCTGGAGTTAACAATCATTGAGACCCAAAAGGCAATGAAGATGACTAGAAATGTAATGTCTCTGCACTTTCTGTTGTGCTTGATGATCCCATCTTTATCACTCCCATCACTTGAAGTGTATCTTCCAATTACAGCTCCCAGAGGTCCTCTCATCTTTTCCTCTTTCACTGTCTGAAAACCCTCGAGAAAAAGAAGGGAGATGTCCGGAGTGAACAACACAGAGGAACCTTTTTTGTTAAAGACTAAAAGAGTGTCTTCTCTCTCTTTCTATGTGTTCATTGTTCAAGAAGAGTGTGAAAGCATTTGAAGGGTATTAATGTCTTTTTCAGCAAAAGTGATTTTATTTTTGGTAAAAGATAAAATGTAATGGTTCTGTTCAATCTATCATCCGTGGAACAGGAATAGAAATATAGAATCCATGTCTCCTGGTTCTGATGGGCTTTGAGTGTTTTTTTAACCATTTTTAATTCCTTCCCTAATGTGTCACCCATTTTATACTAGAGTGATTTAGTAAACTACCCATATTTGAAGTTCAAATTAGCAAAATATCATTGATTGAATATGAAGGACACTGACACAACCATTTGGCAAGGAAATGTCGAGAATGACCTTTCTCTTTCCTCTCATTAATACGAAGCGTAAAAACATTTGTTAACATATAACACTTCTGTTAGCGTCTACAATATTTGTTAACAGCCAACACATCTATTACCGCGAAGCGTAAAAATAATTGTTAACAGTTAACACTTCTGTTAACGTCTACAATATTTGTTAACCGCTAACACGACGTCGAATCTAAAACCCAGAAAATTGATATCATCAAAAAATTGAGGATTCAAAGCCACTTATGAAAAAAATAATGAAATTTAAAATTTAATTGTATATAAAATGATAGAGATTTGTAAAATAATTAGGGATTGGAGAGAAAAAAGGTCAAAATTGAGGATTCAAAGCCACTTATGAAAAAATAATGAAATTTAAAATTTAATTGTATATAGAATGATAAAGATTTGTAAAATAATTAGGGATTGAAGAGAAAAAAAAAAGGAGATGTCAAAGAGAGGAGATAGAGTGTAGAGAAAGACAAAATGGTTCAAAGGAAAGTGATTGTCACATCATGGGCAATTCTCTAATTATAGGTGCCAAATAAGACACTTTAGCCAATTATCTCTTTATACTATTTGTTCTTCTTTCTTTTTATGTCAAGATTTAAAACAGAACTTTTTTTATTTTTATTCCTACTGTGAATTTGCAACTGCAACTATAACGCCGTTCATTTGATT